AATCCATCACCACACAAATGTACTTGTTTCCAGACGAGTTTGGGGCAGAGGACCAGCAATGTCAACAGCTACTCTTTCCATTGGTGCACCAACTTGATATAACTTAATTGGAGCACGTCCCTTATGCTTGAGTCCACTTTTAGCACAACATGTACTGCATGTCCTGCACCATTCTTCCACATCTTGCCTCATACCTGTCTCTGTTGTTGGTGACTCAGTGTCTTCTTAACCCCAATAAGTCTTCCTGTTAAACTATCATGGGATTGATGCAGCAATATACCGTAACTTTCTCGGTATAACTGTTTGCAAGGTCGTCACTTTCCCATCTGCAGTTTCCCATCTCTGGACAAGAATACCATCTTCAAGCTTCAACTGGTCCCATTGTAACCAATAGTTCTTTGTCACAGACATTACGCTAGACACCTTCTCCCAAGCAGGACGCAAGACACTTGCTTTTAGAAAATCAATTATTGGCTTCAAATCTTGGTCTTTCTCCTGCTCTGCTTTAATATCTATATCTGGTTCCACTTTACCATCATCAACTCCTTCAGTCACTTTGACTTCAGCTTGATGGCATCTGGTTAGTTCAACCTCTCTTTTAACACTTACCAGAATTCGACCTTTGTTAAATACACACTTCTTCGGTATTAAATAGTCCAACACTAATATGCATTGGTCTTCAATGTCAGCCAAGTATACTTTCTGTCTGTCCTTCATGCCCATGAGCTCAATAGTTACTCACACTGGTCCCTACAACCTTGCATCATGTCCTGTCACACCACAGAACTTCTGTATGGCTTCTGATACTCCTTTGTGATCCAGCATCTTGATGCTCACAAGGGTTTGCTGAGATGCAGAATCTATGACAGAGTTGCACTTTTGGCATCCAGCTTTCCTGTCACATAGACACTATGTATGCTTGGCATTTTACACCTAGCTGTTGGGACTTTCACAGTAGGGGTTGGTAGGCATCCCTCAACATGAACCACTAATGGTTTTCCAGAGGCAGACTTATTGGTAGTATTCTTCTTACACTGGCTCCTCATATGTCCTTGCTCTCCACAGTTCCATCAACCTTTCTGGGTAGCAGTCCTTTCCTG